GGTGACTCTCAAATCCTAATCGACTCCCACTTTGCCTGTTACCTTGGGACAACGGCTTATTCGAGCTTCCCGACATTACGTCCCACTTTGAGGGCTCACAGTCATCCTCGTTAAACATAAAAGGATCCTGACCGTCCATTCCTGAATTACCACTCGTGCGGACCATCCTATCAGATTCCCTTGATGTCCCGCCACACATTCCTGATTTGGAGGATTCGGCTCTCAGCTTAAGCAACAGGGCATCAGCGGAACATTGAGTGGGTCCAGCGCTCGATCTGATCACGTCGAGCTGGGTAAAACTTTCCTGAGAAGTTAAACCTAAGCCAAAAAGGCCTTCGAAATGGTTGCCCTCGTAAGGAATACAGCCCACCTTTTCATCTTTGGAATTGGATGGTGAAGAGTTCCTCAGTAATGAAACACCTAGTCATCAATGACAGATCAGGAACATGTAATAGTCATCAATGACAGATCAGGAACAAGTGGGTACAGATAAAAATAAAAGACACACGTGTGTGAGAGATTATGGGTGTGTTCGTTTATAAATTTTCTCAATACATAATCAATTCATACTCAAAATCCAACTCAACTTTAACTCAACCCAACTATCCTCAACATTATCATATAATTAAATAATATCAATCATTCTTACACTCCGCATTGACTTTAATTCATTATTCATCTACTCACATAATTTAAACTAACCATCACTTCCCATTATCTCTATCCTACTTTTACATCAAATCAACTTTAATTACTTTACTTTAAATATTATTTTAATATAAACTCGAAATCTCACTAACAACTAACATACCGCCTTTTTCAAAATTAACACTAGTTAACGAAAAAAAACTCGTTTTGAGCGGATATATTTGTATCCAATCACGCCCTATAAATAGCTTACTGGAAACAGTAAACCATACTTGATACCTGAGAGAATTTTAATGACACTCAGAACAAGCTTTGTGAAAGAATGGGGAGCTCGTTGACCATCAAAACTTCCTTTCATCTCAAGTAAATGTCGCTGAAATGCATTCATAAGCAGATTCAAACAACAAGCCATCAATTTATAAATAACTTTAAACCTGGTGCATAAAACATGACGCATTCAAGCATATAAGACCTTGTATCTGCCAAGACAAAACCTGATACCTGATTATCATTGCTAAGGAAAAGAGCATTTTCTATGATTTTTAGACATTTTAAAAGCAGTACTAGGCTTTCTAGCCCCGAGATTTCTCTTGAATCCAATGCAAAAGTAGGGCTCTTCTCCGACCATTCCTGTATCCAATCAATGAGCATAGGAAAAATAAACTTAATGGAAAACATCAAGGTCTGTAATGGTAGTCATGCAAGCTTAGAATACCATCTTGAAATGCATATAATTCATTGCCAGCGACTTTCATAAACCCAAAGGTGAAAAAAAAAATCAAGTATTATCATCAATCCAAAGTTTGGAAAAAAAAAAAATTATTTCCATTTTCG